ATAGAGAAAACAAAAAACAGAAAGCAAACAAAGAGACAGTTTAATTATAGTAGGTTCTTACTAAAAAGAAGAAAATAAATGAAAAAAAAAAAGATATATAAAAGAACGTAGAGACGTCCGATGAGACGACATGACAGACTCAACAACAGTTAGAACTGTGATAAATTTTTATTATACGTATATTGTTCTACTCTAATTACATATGTTTAGAGTATTTAACCTGCTTCAACATTTTGAAAATGCGCGTAATTGTCGACGCGTTAGATACGTTGCTTTTTTGAAAGAAAAAAGTAACGAACGAATTACCACCTTAGTAATAACAAAGTGACTAAAAAAAAAGAAGAAAAAAGTAACGAAAAGAGAAAAACATTCCGGTCACGTATTAACGAGAATTTTTATTTTAAAAGGCATTACGATCCTGAGAGTTTTTAATTTGTTCAACGATGTGTTGCTAAATAAACAAATAAAAGGAAAAAAAAAGAAAAAAAAGCGTTAAAGATCATTGCACATGTATGTATTGTCCTAGGGAAGGAAAAAAAATTTTTAACTTATATTTTACCTATGTATATTCTGCTGTCATATAATTAATGTTTCCTATATTTAAGGCTTACATTTAGCTAAGTTCTTGAATGTTTTTTCATTAAATGTAATGATATGTCGCAATATAGAAAAAAAGACATATTTTACGTATTTAATACCATTAAATACTTTGACGGTTATTTAAAACAAATCAGTGTCAGACACTAATACTCCAAGTCAGCACGTCAGATATTGAAAAAGAATTCTACGCTGCCGTTGTAGCTGAATAAGTGCAACGTTTTTTTATGTTGAAACTCTTATTATCAAATAACTTCTGTGTGACGTTTTAGCATTACCTCGATTTCCAACCGAACTGACATTATTTTTTGCGTGTTACCACATGTTTAGCACATGTTTTTGTATATATTGTATAAATATACAATTAATAATTCTGTTACCAATCAAAACTAAATATATGAATATATCCGCACAGTCGAAATTCTGAGATCAGGACGCAAATCAAGAATATAACTTATAAGAGTGCTACATAATAATATGATGGAATGTGCTGTGAAATAAAAATTTATTGATCTGAATTTATTTTTGTACTCTTAGGTATTTTCCCACCATGTGAGCAATCCAAGACCTTGCTCATCAATAGCTCCCTGAAATAAAATTAAAATAACCATTATTTTTCAGTGAACAGGATATTATTATTTATAATATTATAATTATATATTATATATATGACTGATAATCAATATCTTAATCATATTTCCAAAATATAAATACCTACTCCTAAGCTATATGGAGATGTATTTTTAGCCTCTGATGTCTCAGTTTCGCCAGACATATTTGGCCCTGTAGGTAGTGCTTCAGTGAACGTTTCATTTATTACCCTGAATCTTATGATTTCCCCTAAAATTTATAAATTTATCAGACATATTCCTGTTTTCTGAGGTTTTATGAAATTCCTAAAGTAATTTACCTGCATCCATAAACAAATCATGTTTTTCACCATCTCCTGTATCATACTCCCATACCCATGCTTGTTCCATTTGATCAAACCTAGATGGATGTTGCAGTTTATGAGGTGGTATCACAATATCTTCAAAGAATCCTAATGTCACTGTGATAGATAAAATTTGGCAACACATAAAATCGTAAATGTGATAAATAAAAATAAACAATATCATTTATGCAGGTATTACCATGGACACCGTCGACACTACAGCTTCGTATCTTTCCTATTAATATTTCTTCCATAAATGGACGGAACACGATGTAACGAAATACTACCTTGGTATGAGATGCACCATCTCCAGGAAAAATATACGATTCCTCGATTTTTGTAATATCATGAAGAGCAATACAAAGACCAACGTCATGATAAACCTTGAACAAAGAAATTGAATAACTTTATTAATTTCATTGATGAGATTAATAGACTAAAATAGTTCAATTATTCATTATTTCAAGCATTTAAATATCAAATGTTTAAAATATTTAAATGGAATTATGACATTTTACCTTGTTGGCCAATTTTCTGTTAAGTTCATCTGTAATAGCGTCGTTTAATTTTCGTTTGAATTCCCATGGTGGAATTCTAACCGTATCCTTTAATTCCGTGAGAACAAACATTTGTATATCACTTATTTTATCTTAATGTAAAAAAAAATTATCTATCTTTTCAATTATACGATATTATTTACTTCGCTAAATATTACGACTATAATTTCTATCACAGACTGCTTTATACAAAGGAAGTACCTCCCTTACGGTATCTCCATTACGAGTGCATCGAGGAGAGCTATTTGTCATAATCTGCTGCACATAACCTCTAACGCACATGTTCTGAGATATGCTTTGGTCAAGCATGAAACAGGAACAGATTTGTTATACTTCGTTTTAAAAGTTGTGACATCGAACAACGAAAACAATTATTTGTGATTTAAATAAATGAAGACAAAGTTCCTGTTCCTGGAGATTACATAAAGAAAAATAATCGACGGGATGGATGTTATAAATTCAATCCTACAAAATGACATTCAAGAAAAAGATAACAGTAAATCAACAATAGTAAATAAAGATGCAGAAACAGATTTAGGAACTCTTCTAGCGTTAGATTATAACGCTTTAGACTTGAAAGCATTAAAGTATAAAGCCTTTTCCATAATTTTTATCTTGAAGTAAAATACACGTGTGTTAATTAATGATATTAATGCACATGTATGTTATTTATATTTTGTAGATCACAGCCAGAAGAATATCTGAGGAGTTTGACAAGGGACAATGTACAAATACTGATTAATAAAATATGGGAACTGCCAGTGGAACGTGTTGATGAGGTAATAATAGCCAAATTGCCCAAACAGGAATTTATATTGCCACGAGCTCGACAAATCCCAAAAGCAAAAGTTTTAACAAAATGGCAACAGTTTGCTAAGGAGAAAGGCATTAAAACTAAACGGAAAAGTAAATCTAAAGTTAAATGGGATGAAGAACTACAAGTGAGTTACAAATTTTTCAATTAGATCTGAATTTATTAATATTTGAAGTATTTATTTCTTACATCTTAATATTTTTGTAGAAATGGATACCTACTTTTGGTTATAAACGTAACAAAGCCATGGAACAGAAGGAATGGTTGGTAGAAGTTAACAATGAAGGTAAAGCTGCAGAAAATCCTTTTGCAGACGCGAAAGCAGCAAAGGAAGAGAGAAAATCTAAGAATGAATTACAGAGACTGCGTAATATTGCTAAAGCCAAAAATATAAAAATTCCAAAAGTAGGACTTCCTACTAAAGAACATTTCGCTGATTCACAACAACTTTCACAAGCCATGACTATTGCACGCACATCAACAGCATCTCTTGGCAAATTCCAAGATAGGTATGTTCTATATTACATTGTTATACTCTATATTTATTTCTATATATTTCTATAAATTATTAAATTTATATAAAATTTTTCATTAATATAAAAGGTTACCAAAAGAAAAAGATGCAAAGGGTATTGCCAAACAAGTTCCAGGTATGAAAAGAAAAGCTGAAGAAGTTCCAAGAAATTTACAAGAAGAAAAGAAGCGAAATACCAATCTGGCAGATAATATACTGAAAACCAACACTAAGATACTTCGTGAAGACTTTTCTATGCCAAAGTAACTTTCCGTTTTCTTTTTTTTTTTTTTTAAGATTTCCTAGCATGGGAAGAATCATAATTGAATATATTCATTTTGCAGAACAAAACCAGCTAAAGCGGAGAAAAGCAAGAAGAAAGGTAAAAAGGCAGCAAGAGCTAGGGGACTAAAAAAACCAAAAGCAGGTAAAGGAGAACGAAATATGAGGCGTAAAGTTGGAGGTAGAAAACGAAGATAAATATACCTGTTTATGCTAATTTAATCATATTAAATATATTAAATGTAACAACTTAAAAAGTACATTATTAGATATATTGAAATAAATGTTGATAATCTGAAAATTTTGTATCTGTTTCTTTGTAGTAAGTCCCAAGAAAGAGTTTTGATATTGATATTTCTGATAAATAGGTCGAACTTGCATTACGTACGAATAAGATTATTTTTTAAAGATTTAAATTTAAACTATCATCTCATAATAACTGTAAAAAATTATAGGATACAAATAGACGTACAATCAATAATAAAAATATTTCGTTCGTCACCACAGTAAAAAAATAACTATTTCAGAAAATACGTAAAAAATGAAATACAATCAAATCAAAACTCAAATATCGAAATAATATTAATCGTGTATGAAGTTATGAAGTTATGAATTATGCTTCAACTCTAAAGCATGAAAATATAATTAAAAAACTCGATGAAACTGTCGCGAATTAAATGAAGGAATAGTATTGCAAGTCGATAAAGCAGGTTGTCCCTTGGCCACAGAATCAGGGTAACGCGAGAAAGGTGAAAGGTCAAAAGCAGCACGGGATATCGACTCGGGAAAGTCGAGAGGGCGAGGTAACCTGGTAGCGGGTGCAAGGGAGGGTAAGTGCGAAAACGGGTTGCCCTAGAATCAGTAAGGGGTTCCACTCCGCATGTGATTTTATATATATTGTACATATATATATATATATATATATATATATATATATATATAT